TAAAGTCACAGAGGGAATAAAAAGGAGAACTAAAAAGCAGCAAATGAAAACAGAAACACCATGGATAACGAGAAAAATGAAACTGGGCCTAGGGCACTGCCATCCAGACCTGTTGCATTCCTCATTGGCAAACAACGGGTGGAAGAACAGACCCGCCTCTTGGAATTGCTAAAGGTGAGGCTGGAGAAGCACAGAAGAAATACATCTTGGCTCTCAGTAGACGCACAAAGCCCTGCTGGAAAGAATCTTAAAATATCTTTCATTCATGCCACCAGTTCTGAAAGCTGGAAGCAGTGTCCTTTCTGTTACCCTGAGTGGAGCAGAACACTCTCTGCTTCCCGTCACCGAGGGTTCTCGTTACCTTTCACAGGAGCGAGCTTTCTCCAGAGGGGGTGCACTTCAGCGATGTCTCAGACACGCTAATGGGCCCACAGTGACATCCCTGGGGCAGGAAGCAGCACATGCCTTTGAAACCTTGAACTCCTCCTGAGAGTAGGCTCATTATTCTTCAGCATGCAGGTTTTCTGAAATCAATCCTTCCTGCGCTAATTAAAACACAAGCAGGAGGCTGGCTCTGGTTTCCTCATAAATAAACCGAAAATAATGAAATGTTAGGAGCTGGCATTGACTGCCAAGTTTTATGGTTGTCCCCTAATTACTTTGCTACAACACAATTTTGTGTGTGTCCAACATAATGATTTGATAACCATGACCATTGTTCCTGAAATAATTAAGAATTTTAATCATGAATCGAAAGATAGGAAAATAGCTTGATAAATGTTTACCCTCCTACCTAACTAGGTAAACAAAAGAGTGCTGAGTTTGTATATTTTGTGGCCTACATGAATATTTATCATGAGCAGAGACTGGCCGGACAAAAACAATCACGGAAAGTTGAAAGCCTGGCTGGCCTATAAAACTGCAGTGCCCTGTTCCTCAGAGTGCACTACAACCACGCTTTGGGGTCTGGGCTGGGGAGCGAATCGAACCACAGGATAAAGAAGGTAAACATTTGGGATGCTTTAATTGTACTGCATTTATGGGTGTGGAGAGAACATTATGTTCTTACCAAAAATAAACATGGCGACATTGTGGAACGGAATGCAAAACTGACACAAATTTCTCAATATTACAAAGGCCTTACATCCACAGGTCCTCCTTCACTTTAGGAATTTTTGTGGAACTTTTGTGAAGTGCTCGTGTTGTGTCAGGGAACAATGACTTGCCAATAAAAAGGAAGGGGTTTCTGATGTGCAAGTTTCTACTCTAGATTAGACTGAATAAATTTCATGTCATCTGTATAAATATGAATAATGGGTATAACGTTCTTTGTCCTTCCCCGCCCCCAACATATGTTAATTTCTGAGGACTTTCTTGGTTGTCACACTGAGAAGGGGGATACTCCGGCATCTAGTGCTGAACATCCCATAATATACAGGACAGCCCCCACGACAAAGGATTTCCCAGCCTATAATGTCAATATTGCTGAGTTTGAGAACCCCAGCTCTAGAAAGCAAGTGGTCTGAAGGTCAAAGCCAGACCTAGCAAATAAGGTCCCAGTGGAAGCCTAAGAAGACAGTGATGGAGAAGGGAAGGAGGCCCGAGTCTACCTGGACCAGCGCAGGAGACAAAAGGCAGCCTCTGGGAACAGGGCTCAGCTGGTTGCCAGGTCAAGAGAAGAATAGGTTTAGAATTCAGACCATGAACAGAGCTGCAATGTGGTCTTTGAAGACTTGCTTTTGTGGGTTTTCTGGAAGTTGCTGGTATACATGTGGTCAGAGATATGCTGTCTCCTCCAAAAAGCTGACTTGGTCCTCCAAATGAGGGTGAATCCTTCTCCAGCCCACACCCCCCACCCCCAGTGCTAAGGCTATAGGTCTGAGGTCTTTATTATTTTACCCACCACTACCTTCCGCCTCAGTCACCAGAGTGAACTACAAGCTTCTCAAGGACAAGACTTGTGCATTTTTCAAGTATGTCTCTTTTGGTCCCTGGTGTCATAGCACACAGCAATACTCATAGAATGGCTTCAGAATCAATGTCAGTGCTGTAGTCTCCTCCCCAAATAAGAAATTCTGCATGTGTACATTTGAACACAACATTAAATAGCAAGGAAAAAGGAAGTGATTTACTCTTGCTATCTGGGAAAGTCATTTGGCAAAGTCTATTTTGAAAAACCTGCTTATGTTTCCTTTTTGCATGCTAGTCATCTGTTCGACTGCCTCCCCCTTCTTTGGCCTTTTTAGCAGTTTCCAGTAGCCATGCAGTCCATTGAAATTTTACTGTTGCCTGTCATAAAGAGTCACAATCTCAGGGACTGTTTTTAGACACAAATGCCTGTAATTGAAGCGCAGAGCAAAGTTTGTCTATCCATCACTGTACAACCATGAAAATGTTTTTAAGTTCTATAATTCATTAATTTGCTAATGACTTTTTCCCTGTAAAGGGTAGTTTGACTCTGCTTAGCTTTAATTTTAACAAAGAATTGATCTAGGCTTTCTCCCCACTCTCCAAATGAACCATTCCATAGACTGAGAAGAAATGGAGCATTTTTAAAATAAAAGGCAATTTTCCATGTAAAAATATTCTGGGCAGGTTTGGTACTTTTTATTCTATTCTTTACATTCCCAAAATGTAAGAAACTCATTGAAGCATCCAAATGTCTTTAAAACCCTTTACGAAATAAATCAAAGGGTTATTCTTCACCTCACAACACCATTTATCAAAAGACTGAATCCAAGATTATTTTCATTCAGCAGCATCTACTCTCAAACCCATTTAAATGTAGATGCTACTTACACAGCTCTTCAGAAACTGGAAGGACTTCGTAAGATCCAAGAAGGAATGATGAACGAGCCTACCCCCTTAGCTGTGTGGTGAAGAAACTGAGGCTTAGAAGTCAACATAAACTTTCAAAGCTACCTAATGACAATAGCTAAGACTTACCAAGGGCCTTCGGCTTCTCGCACCTTCACCATGTCCACCATGTCAAAGCCACCACTGTATCTCACTTGGACTGTGCCAGAGCCGCTAAGGCCTGATTCTGCCCTGTCTCTTACACACCACCCTGCCCATAAAGGCAGGCCAGTCCACACAGCAGCCAGAGGGAAGCGTGCATATATGACAGAAGGCAAACTGAGGCACTCCTTTGCTAAGAAACCTCCAATGTCCTCCCAGCTCTCTTGAGTAAAAAGCCAGTCCTCACATGGCCTACATGGCCTATGCCATTTCCAATTACTTCCCAGCTGCACCCAACACTTTCTTCATACATTTCTCCCCTAGGTCTTGGCCCTTGCAGTTCCCTCTGCCAGCAACTTCTTCGGACTTCCAAGTGACTCCCTCCCTCCCTTTAGGTATCTTCTCAAACATCACTTTTCCATAGGTGGCCTCCCTGACCACCCTATGCCCTGTTGTCTAGCTCTCTCTCCTACTTTACTTGCTTTACTCTTTTATCTAAAACTTTTTACCAGTTGACATATTATAAATTTATTTATTGACTACCTCTCCCCACTCAAATGTAAGCTCAACCAAAAACATCCCAGATGGACTCCCAGTGCCTGGCACATGGCAGGCACTTAATATTTTTGTAGTAAGTGCTTCTGTGTGTCAGGCACTACTCCAAGGAAGGTACAGGACCCAACTTAATCTCCCCAATAAGTGGGATAAGCACTATCTTCACCACCATTACTGTGGCCTCTGGTTCCAAGATGAAGAAATGGACTCACGGGGAAGTTAGTAACTTGCCCCCAAATCACCTAGCTAGTCAATAGCAGACAGAATTTGAACCCATGACACACACTTTAGCCATCATGATGTACTGTGTTACTCTTAGCTTAGCTAATGACAACTTCAGTGACACCAGCCTCTCAGAAATTGAGATATACCGAAGTACACTTTTACAATTTCAATAGTTTTCCATAGCTGCCTAATATTTTTAAAGTAATCAGTTAAGTGTGATTTTGAGCTAAGACTGGTAAGAGCAAAACTGTGAGCTACAACTGTGTAGCACTTCGGTGCCTAATTCAGAAAACACACAGATGACTGTGGCTTAGAAGCGTGTGCAGGTAATTCTCCCTACTCTACTGAGATTACCACAATTAGCTCTGGTCCATAAAGGGAAAGCTAAGACACAAAAGCCGCAGTGACGTTCCAGGCCACACAGCCAGCAACGGTGGCTGGCAGGGCCCCTCTGGGATTGCAGTAGGTCACACGTGCTCTTTACTTATTAGTTTAAAACACCCTGATGATTCTACTTAATGGAATGTTTAAGCCAAGACGTCACCATTAGGTATGTTGATACAGCTTTATCTGAGAAGTTACATAATCATCCTAATGTAGAACTGCCATAAAGGAATTTGTGTCTTGGAATAAAGAGGGGTGCACCTCCTGGCAATTACTCCACAAAGATTTTCAGTGACGAGTTTATTATCCTACACTGGGCAGGTCTCCTGTAAAAAACAGGGCCCGAACAGAGGCTCTTTGAGGACAGTCGCTGTGCCCAGTTCATTTTGGTAAGACTCAGCCGACCCCTGCCTGAAAGAGCCTTCAGGGATCCCCAGGCTTGCCCATCCTTCCACAGGAGGGGGAGGTCTGCTCTGTGTCTCATCTCCAGGGATATGGAAGTGCCCACGGTGAATCCTCTCTGCCTCTGGCTATCGGGACAAATATTTATTTATGCAAGCCTATAGACCTCTCATTACCTTTCTACCCTAGAGAGCCGAAAGCTCTCTTACCTCCCACTTTTTGGGGGGAATTCTCTGACAGAAATCTCGAGCTCTGGAATAACACCCACACCTCCATCTTCCGTAGACTTCGGCCTCCACTGCCCCCACGTGCCCCAGAACACAGCCGGAGAAGGAAGCGGGTTGGCTATAAGGGAGGGGCGGGGATGTCACAAGCACCTGTCACCTGGTAAGCTCCCTCACTTCCCCATGCCCACCCAGCCCCACCCACCCTCACTCCCAGGAGGGCTGACTTGGTCTTCGCTCCCCCACACACCCCTACCCGAACAGGCCGGTCCTCCCGCCCCAGCCTCCCGTCGCCGTCCAATGGCCGAAAGGCAGGACAAGCTGAGCAAGCCGCGGCAGCCCGGCCGGGTCCCCGCCCTGTTCCCGGTTCCCAAGGTGGGCCCCTGCGGCCTTTAAATGCCGCCCAGGGCCGGTGCAGTGAAGCCCTGGCCACCCTTCTTCTTCGGGCGGCGACAGCAGCACCCTGAGGCAGAAGGCAGCCCGACTCTTCAGCTGCGGTCAGGGCAGCTGCGGCCACCTCCGACCTCCTGGCGGGCACCGCCTCCAACTCCCCTCCCCCACCTCTCCGGCCTGCCTACCGGGTCGGCGTGGGGCCCAGGCGCGCGCCCGCGCGCGTCCGTGTGTGCGCGCGCCCGAGCCATTCTCGGACCCGCGCCCCCGCCCGGCGCAGGACTACCCCGGGATCTCCGTCGGCTCGCAGAGTCTCCAGTCCCCCGACACCCGGCCTCCAGTCGTGCAGCCCGCCGCGCTCTGCAAGAAGATGGCGGGATCGGTGGCAGACAGTGATGCCATAGTGGTGAGTGTGGTTGGGAGCACGCGAGGCGCCCCCTTCCTGAGGTCCCCTAAGCGGCGCTGCCTGCTCCAGCCGAGCGTGGCGGAGAGAAACTGAGGCCCGGCCTAGCGCCCCCAGCGTGGGAAGGCGCCCGGGTACCTGTTAGCAAGAGCCCTAGTGCGCGGACGGCGTGAGAGAGGGAGGGGTGCCCTCGGCTGAGCGGGGCGGCGGGGGGGGGGGCGCCGCTAGCGGCGAGGGTGTTTGGGGGCAGAATGGGGGTAACTAACAGCCTCCTTCGTGCTGTGCAGCCCCCAGCCAGGTGTGTGCACATTGCACGTGTGTGGGTGCGCGTGCGTGAGTGTGTCGGGGCGCGCGCCCGGCGCCCACCCCCGACTGGGGATTCCCCCTTGGAAATGGGTCCGCGCCGGCTGCTCCCGGGAGAAGTTGAGCGCGGCCGCTCCGCTCCAGCCAGGTCTGGGAGGACAGGCCTTTGAGACAAGGGGTGCGGATGCGTTTGCGGTTGGAGGGGGGCCTGCCCTTCTTCCGTGCTGGGCTCCGGCTTCCCGGTGTGCCTCGACCTTGATTTTGAGCTAGATCTGAAGGATCCGGATATCTTCAGAGACTTAGCTACCAGTTGGAAAGGACGGGTTTTGTTCCGAGGTTTATGCGGTTATTCAATGGACAGTGAGGCGGCAGCATCTGCAGACGCTGCCAGTATTCTTGTAAGGGTTGTTGGGTTCCGGCAGATCTGTGTAGGTTCTTCCTGGCAGTCTCCCATACTCCGCACCCCCACTCCCCCAAACAAGAGCCTTTGGAAAGACAATATGTGTGATTCTATTTTTAGAAACTAGATGGTGGACATTTAAACAACTCCTTGAGCTCTCCAGTTCAAGCCGACGTGTACTTCCCACGACTGGTAAATGATTTTGTTCTGTGCTCTGTGTCTTTGCTTGCATCCTGTTCCTTTTTTAATTACATTTTCTAATGGTCAGGACCTCAGGATCTGAGGGCTTGGCTCTTCCCTTACAGGCTGTAAATGTCCTGTTTCCCGTTTCATCCTTTGCAGATAGTTCCATTTTGTGGGCATATTAAAGGGGGCATGAGACCAGGCAAGAAGGTGTTAGTGATGGGCATCGTTGACCTCAACCCTGAGAGGTAAGGCAGAGCTATCAGGCAGTTACAAGATCCTGCCCCCTCCTATTTACTGCTCCTCCTCTTCCTCTCCCTGTGGCCAGTGTTGCTAGTTGGAAGTGCCAAGAAAGTACCATGTTCCCATGAAAAGAATGTGTATGAATCCCAGCCATCATTTCTCCAGACAGCTATTTATATCAGAGATTATAAATATAGGCCCACATCATTTTCTCTTTGACCCTTAGGGAGGCCAAAAGAATTTTTTAATGGTTTTTAAACATGATGCTTAGAGTGAGAACTATCAATATAAATGAGAACCAAATTTACAAGATAGTATTTCCCCTGGTCAGTTTTGGGGGTGGTTTTGAGAATTCTGAAATGAATTAAGATACAGTTGTGTGGGTAGTTTGGGGTATTTGAAATTCCAAATGTTATCATTTTCAACACCACCAGAGCCTCCTTTATGTAACAAAATACTGTAACTGGTTTGATCGTAATCTCCATACTTAGTCAAACCTTCTGTGTGAAGAGTAGTGTCCAATCAACAGCTGACAAACCCTGAGAAGAGAGAGAAAATGTGGGATGTTGGGTCATTGTTAAATGTTGTTATATCCAACCCTGAATAAATGAGATATTTTCTTACCAGCTTTGCCATCAGCTTGACCTGTGGTGACTCGGAAGATCCTCCAGCTGATGTGGCAATTGAACTCAAAGCTGTGTTCACAGACCGGCAGCTACTCAGAAATTCTTGTATAAATGGCGAAAGGGGTGAAGAGCAGTCAGCAATCCCTTACTTTCCATTCATCCCGGACCAGCCATTCAGGGTGAGTACCTCGAGTGCGTCAGCTCCAACCACTGGCAGGGTGATGATGTTTTCCTCCTCTGACGTATGCCAAGAACACTTTAAGCAGCCAGAATTTTTGCATCTCCAGGAAATTTGTCACTCGGTGAAAACGATCAAAAGAGCTCTGTACGAATTAATGTTCGCCATAGTAGCTCTTGCTCTGTTTAGCCAATACATTCAGTAAATAAATCCATATTTACATGTCCTGATTGTTAAGAATACTTTTCCATGTAGGGCTTACTGTAGAACTAGGCATGTAATAGGTATCTGTCTCAAAATAGCTGATTGGTTAATAAATATTAATTTTCTCCATTTTCCCCCCTCAACTTTTAGGTAGCACTAAGCCTTATGAGTGTGACTTTTTAAAGAATATAGTGGTTATCATTTCATTTTCTGAAGGCCTGGCTCTGTTTTTGTTTCCCGCTCTGGGCTAAGTAGCCTCAGTCTGTTTCATTGTCACAGACTATGTGGCTGACACATTTCTTTCTGTGGGCCTGGATGAGTATAAATTGGTTCCTTACTATTTCCTGGGCTAGAAGCATAGGCCAAACTTCCCATCCAGTTAAGCTGCATTAGCACATTCCTCTATGAAGGACAACACCAAGTAAGAGATGCAAATCAGTAATGTGTTAAGAAAGGATTTACTGAAATGTCAGACCAGGTGATGAAGTTGTCCACATTACCCCTGGTTAACCAAAATCACAATAATAACAACTCAGTTAAAAGCTCTGTGTTGCATATACTCCTAATAAATCAGAACTACCTACTTGTTGCTATTCATCTAGAAATTTACAAGGGCCTTATGAAGAAGTAATTGTTTTTCTTCCCATCTTACAGTCTGGGGGCAGGGGGAATAAGAATCCATGACTTTTCACATCAATAATAGAATTGAGATTGTTGTCCTTTTAATCATAGTCTGGGGAAGGCACCCCTACTCATTATCCCTTTCTCTAGGATGGTAATGGTCCCTTCAGCGGCTCTTGACTGTGACAGATTCTTAATTATGAATCTTAATGCATAACTCATGAGCGTGAGTAGACAGAGCTGCTAACTGCCAAGAGGAATATAATGCTCCCCAACAACCAAACTGAAATGAAGTCAGCCCTTCTTGGTGATACAATTTTAGTAACAATATGAATTAAATGTGACTAATATCACATATGGAATCTCTCCTTGCATGGTGAATACCAATGCTTTTAATAAATACACAGTACAGAACCAGTGATTAAACTCTATGGTGAATTACTTAGTGAAAAGGGGAAGAAAAAGCTTTTACCATATGGAATCAGTATTTCTGTTTGGCTTAACAAAGCCTTGTTAATTATACATCCTTGCTCCAGTGGTAATTACTGTGTAACCTGTCTGCTTTAGTGTTTACCAGGTTTGAGAGTCTCCACTGTTATTATATGCTACTAACAGGCACCAGTACTGCATTGTGAGGGTCTCCTCTGAAGGTGGGGTGGATTGTTCAGGGGGATGACAGTGGAGGTATTAAGTGCCATGTAAATAAAGCTATGCTACCTTCACTTTTCTAGAGTGCAAAGAGAAGGGAGAAATGTTCAAGCATAAGCAATTTTTTGATTTTTCAAAGATACTGAATAGTGTAGAGCAACGATTGACAAAGTGTTTTCCTCCTTCCAGCAAAAGCAACATCCCCTTGGAACTTGGAAATGTCAATTTTTAGATCTTACCCTAGACCTACTAAATTGAAAAATTTAGGAGTGGAGCCCAGCAATCTGTGTTCTAACAAAGCTTCTGTGTGATTCCACTGCACTGCATCGTGTGAGAACCACTGACGATGTTGCCTCTCTTTCTCTAAAATGAAGCATTGTTTGTTTGTTTGTTTGTTTGTTTGTTTGTTTTCCCCAGCAGGGTTCATTGAAATTGTGAACTGAGGTTATTATTTTATTTCTTCCAGGTGGAAATTCTCTGTGAGCACCCACGTTTTAGAGTGTTTGTGGATGGACATCAACTTTTTGATTTTTACCACCGCATTCACACATTATCTGCAATTGACACCATAAAGATAAACGGGGACCTCCAGATCACAAAGCTCGGCTGATGTTTAAACCACCTCTGTTTCATAAACAGGAACAGGTGCCACAACTCCCTGACTGTTGGTCTGGAAGAAGTGTCTTGGCAACACCTGGAGACTTAAAAAGGAAACAAAAACAAAAGGCAAGCTCTACTGTCTCTTCTTTGCAGTTTAAACCCAAAATGGCTTCAACCGAGGTTCGCCCTTAAGAACTGTCGGCACACAGACACCGAGCCCTTATTCCCAGAACAAAGTAATACATTTATGCTGGATTTTATTCAGATAAACTGAAGTGGATTCGTGATGATTTGTGATTTGGTAGCAAGTTATCTTTTCAAAGCAAGGTGATGCTCAGAAACAAAAGTGCTAAAGACAAAATAACAACAAAAACGGTACACCGAAGTCAACTCATTCTGCACTGAAGTGGAATTGCGTCGCACAACCAACATTTTAGTCAGGGTATTTACATGGAATGTAGGCTGTTCAAGGTTCGTTTGGCTGTCTGTTTTTGTTTTTGTTTTTTTTGCATAGCATTATGTTAATTCAGGTTTTTAAAGCTTTCTCATATTTATTTATACTCAACGTATGTATTAGAGAATGATTAATATCTCAACAACAAGTTAAGAACTTTTGAATGTACAAATACCTTAGGTCCCAGGGGGAAAAGTACATATCACAGTCATGAAACAGGTGGATTTCTGCCTTAAAGAATTGGCTCATATCCTCCAGACTCCTAACTCTTAGGATCTCTTGATATAAATTGCTGTAAGTGCTTTGGGGAAGATTTTCCAACATTTTGGGAAAACTGCTTTTTGAGTTATTAATAATTAATGTAAAATTATATTTACATTGCTTTTTCTCCTTACTGTGAGTTACCACAGTATTGGCTTTTTAAAAATACTCTAGCTACTTTTCCCTAGATTTACATAATGTCTCCATAAGTTGCTATTAAACTAATTGACAACATATGAGAAGTGATTGCATAGACAATTTTTAAATGACTATTATATGAACTTTTAAGGGGATAATATGAAAATGATACTGGACTGCAGTGTAAAGCAGAAGCAAATGACCCCAGATAACTTACTTGCAAATAATTTATATCAACTTATGCTGTTAGCTCATTGTATCACTTTTATTACGTGACCCTCACCAGTATCCCTAAGCAATGCCTTTGCAGCTTCAGAGTAGAAGATGCTTCCTGTTTTCTGGGTTGGCTCTGCTGAGATACTAGGATAAGACAGGCTCCAGATTAGGAGGTGATCCAATTAGTTTATCTAAAAGGTTAACCCCCAGAACTCCAGGTCTTTGAGTCCAGCGAATAGTGCAAACACTCCCAGCTAAGCTGTAGGAGACTCCTGCACCTGTGGAACTGATCGGACAGCAGTGCCTCTCTAGCGGGAGCCTGCAGTGCTGTTAGTGTTGAGAGTCAAGGGGGGTGGTGGTCCTGGGTGCCAAACTCCCCCAACCACATTGGCCCTGGAGGGAAGGACCCTTGGCATTGCTTTGGTCAGGTAGTGGGGGGATGGGGAGAAAGGGGTGCTGGGGTAGGGGTGTATTTATACATAATTTAGGTTTTGTTTGTACAGCATACCGCGTCTTATTATGACATGTCATTGCCCAGCTTTGCTTTTGAGTTTTTTTACACAACATGCAGAGGCACTGAGATGGCCATGTCGTTTCATGTGTCAAGAATGTAGACAGTGTTTCGGTACCAAAGTCTCAGAAAAAGAAAACTAAAACTTCAAAATTTTTTATAGATGATATATTTGGATTCTTCTAACCTTTGAACCTGTTTAGCACAGTTCCATTGTGTTATATAAGAAGATACTTTACCCAAACAAGACTGGCTGAGCATTGAAAAGCTGTGTGGACCAGCTGACTTAATCAGCCATATTCAGCCAAGAGGGCTGTCCTGTGGCTCCAGGTATTTTCAAGTCTGTGGTTAACTTCTCATGGCTCACAAAGCCACTAGATTTTGAGGAGTGTCTGTAGAGAAACTTGGAGGGTATCCTGAAATATATCTGTAGGGGTTTTGATTCTACTTATGGTGGAAGACCCCCACCGGAGGTTTCCCTTGCGTGGCCATCCATTCCCACCCACTGCATAATTCAGCAGAAACTAGAGGAGTTGGAAGTGTAACTGATTGGAATTGACACTCTGCACTATCCACCTATCAGCTAACCGGTTAGCAGCCAAGCCCTTAGGCAGCTTAGTGTAAAGATGGGCTGTTAACCCTTCATTTCTCTATGGGGTCTGTGGGAACCTCTTAGAATTAATATAAATGATGTGATAGTTTGATTCAGATATAGGTAAATTAGTAGGGGCCTAACCCAGCAGTACTGATCATTAGCTATAAACTAGAGACAATGTTCAAACAATGTTCACTCCCTCTCATTGGCATGTAAGGTCTACGGTGGGAATTCAGGATAGAAAGTGCAATTTAAAGCTTCACAGGAAAGCATCGGGTATGTAAGGAGTTATTTCTGACCAGAGCCCTCTTTTGCAATGTGACCAAAACCAAGGAGTGTGACAACAGTCAGGCTCTAGGAGAATAAAAGGCAGGCTTTAGACAATCTGTCCATTTCTGCATCAAAATTGGAGTGAATGTTTATATCTGCGTAAAAGTCAATGGAAGTGGCTTCTACTTCTGGGCTATCCCAGAATTGTCTTAAAGTTCTTCATTATTTTTTTAATTTGAAACCCCATTTCAAATCTTGCCACCCTCAGTTCAAAACCCTCTAACAGATCACTCATAGAATTGAAGGTGATTTGTTAAAATGGCAAACCTTTTCATTTGCATTAAAAAGAAAATATCCAAAAAGAGGGAGGGAGCCCTACTGCCTGGAGAGAAACAGCCTCGGCGTTTTCCGGCATTACTGTAGAGATAATGTTCCTCTGACGGATATTTTCAAAGAAACACTTTCTTATTTACTGTGTGGTGTAAAATGTGCATAATATGTTCTTACATTATTATGTCACTGCTGAAAGTTATTTGCACTATAATAAAGAAATTTTCTACAAAATGGTTTCCAGTTGATAGCATGCTAAATTTGGCACCATTGTGATGTACGTCCCATAAACCATATATAGCAGTGTTTCCTCACTTTCACACGCACCTTCCAAGACCACATGTCCCCATGTCCCACACTGATAAACTGGTCAAAGGAAAGGAGATTGTCTCAGGGCCATGAGAGACCTACTGAGTTTATGTTGTGTATGCAATGGATTCTTTCACTTTCTTTAAAATTTTATTCCATTACTATTTATCCTCCTTAAGCCCCCCTTCCCTGCCCCATAACTACCAAACTGTTGTTCAAGTCCATGAGTCCTTCTTTTCTCTTGCTTCCTCCACCCCCTCACCTCCTTCCCCCTTAGATGTCCTCTGACCATCTATCTATGAGTCTGCGTCTGTTTTGCTTGTTAGTTCAGTTTGTTCATTAGATTCCACATATGAGTAAAATCATAGGTATGTGTGTTTCTCTGACTGGCTTATTTGACTTCGCATGTCTCCAGGTCCATCCATGCTGTTGCAAAGGGTAACATTTTTTTTCTTTTTTACAGCCAAATAGTGTAAATGTCCCATAGTTGTTTTATCCACTCATCTGCTGATGGACATTTGGGCTGCTTCCATATCTTGGTGATTGTAAATAACACTGCAACAAACAAATGGGTGCTTATGTTCTTTTAAAGTAGTGTTTTGAGTTTCTTCAGATATATTCCCAGACAAGGGATCACTGGGTGAAAAAGTAGTCCATTTTGAGGCATCTGCATACTGCTTTCCACAGTAGCTGCACCAGTCTGCATTCCCACAAACAGTGCAAAAGTGTTCCCTTTTCTCCATCATCCTCACCAGCATTTGTTTGTTGATTTATTGATGATACCCATTCTGATAGGTGTGAGGTGATATCTCACTGTGGTTTTAATTTGCATTTCATTGGTGATTAGTAACATTGAGCATCTTTTCATGTATCAGCCATTTGTATGTCCTCTTTGGAAAAGTGTCTCTTCAGACGGGGCTTTTGCCCATTTTTTAATTGGATGGCTTTTTTTTGGTGTTGAGTTTTATAAATTCTTTATAAATTTGGGGCATTAACCCCTTACCAGATGTATCAGTAAATATATTTTCCCGTTCTGTGGATTGTCTTTTTTTGTTGATGTTTCCTGTGTTGTCCAAAAACCTGTTAGTTTGATGTAGTCCCATTTGTTTATTTTTTCTTTTGTTTCCCTTGCCTGAGGACATATGTCAGATAAAATATTGCTATGAGCAATGTCCGAGGTTTTACTGCTAATGCTTTCTTCTAGAATCTTTGTGGTTTTAAGTCTAAAATTTAAGTCTTTAATCCATTTTGAATTTATTCTTGTGTGTGGTATAGGAAGGTAGTCTAGTTTCCTTTTTCTGCACATATCTGTCCAATTTCCCCAACACCATTTATTGAATACACTATCTTTAGCCTATTATGGATTTTTTAAAACAATTTACATAGAGTAAATTCATTATTTGGGAGGAGGATACAGTTCTACGAGTTATTTTAACACATGCATGGATTTATATAACTATCACTTCAAGCAGGATACAGAATTGTTCCATCATCCCCCAAAATTCTCCGTGCTACACCTTTGCAGTTAAACTTGCCCTCCACTTCTGACCCTAATTAGGTAACCACTGATTCGCTCCCCCTTCCTTTACCTTTGCCTTTTCCTGGATGTCATATAATAAGAGGATCCTACAGTATATACTCTTTTGAGGCTACCTTTTTCCATTAGCATAATAGAGATCCACGTTGTGTGTATCAATAGTTTTTGCTTGTCATTACTGAGGAGTATTCCATTGTGTAGATCTATCAGTCGTTTTTTAACCTCTTTCCTGTTAAGGATAGAGTAGATTCTTAATAAATTATAAAATACAGTCTTAGTACAATATATTAAAAAGCAAGACTGCACTTTGCTTGCCTTCTCTTTCCTGTGGTTTTAACGATTAGGAAGGAAACTTGATCCCTTGGCTATTTTACCGATAAGTAAAGCTATGGCTTATAAGTTTTCCTTGCTTCAGTGATGAGTGGTCAGCACAGAGATATTTACTCACATGCTGGATCTAGGCATCTATCTACTTATACCTTAATTAGTTTTATTAATCCTTTTAAAAATTTTTCTAAGTATTCAAAGATGTGAGGCAGGGCTCACAGCTTTTGCAGTTAAAATAGGCAGGGAGAGGCCAGTTAAGGTGGGGACAATTTGCTGAGGCTGTTGGGCGGAGATAGGAGAGAGTCCCCTACCCCAGCCTCACTGGGAAGGTCCCTTGGGGGATATGACATTTGTGAGGAAAATAAGGTTTCCTCCCACCTTCTAAGTTCTTGCTGGTTTCATAATCAAATTAACATGAAACAGATTAGTAGGAGAAAATGTCTAAAATTTATTACATTCAGGGGTGCCATAGAATGCAACTGGAAGATGCATTGAACAGTTGAGGGTTGTAAGCCGTTTTGGACCAAGAAGAAGGAGGCAGGGGTCTAGGATTTCAAGTGGAAAGCAGGTCATCTGCAGGTAGAGGCGGAAAGAGCAAACATGTAAACAAATTCTTGCTGGGCCACCCAGTGCTAATGGGACACGGAGGAGACAAGTTCAACCAACAGGCTGTGCTGAATTCCTTCCTTTGCCACGTTTAGTTTATATGATGAGGCTAAGTGATGTGCCCCTTCCTTTAAGCAGATAATGGGAAGGATCAAAGATTCTGAGTCTTTTTTTTCTTAATAACCAGTTTAAAATCAATATTCCAAAAGGCATATTTTGGAGGGGCAAAATTTCAGTGTCCCCTTCATGTTATACTTGTTTTATGGCATCATTTCGGATTAAATGGTGTGGAAGAGATCCGTTACTTGGAGTGCCTCAGACACTTTGGACCTTCATTCATTCAATAGGTGTTTATTGAATGAGCTGTGTCAGTTGCTGTTCTGGGCACCTGGATACATCAATGAGTAAAACAGAGAAGGGTCTCTGGTGGTTTAAACTTCAGTGTGCTCAAGAATCACCCAGAAAGTCTCCTTACAGACCAGAAGTCCAGCCTTACTGTTAAATGGGATTCTGCTGCCTGCCACCCGCAGAAAAACTCTGGAGGCAGAGGTCTAGTGAAAAAGAAAAGTGGTCAGTTATTCAAAAGCTACACAATTTTGGAAGAATGGCAGGCTTCTGCCTCAGAGCCCCTCCCCTCAGAACGCCCAGAGAAAAATAACCCTGCCACTCTCTGCCCTACCAATCCAAGTCGGTGCCCAGACTTTGTTCTTCCATTTAAAAAATAAATATCATACTTTGGGAAACTGCAGGCAGCTGCTGCATGATCCTCCAGGCAGCTTAGCTTGCTCCTCTTCTGCATGCGCCTCAGGTTCGTGCCACAATGTGAGCGAGGAAAATAAAGAGGCCATGTTTCTCCCTACCCTCATTTAAATCTCCTGACCCAAAATCCTGTGCACTCCAGAAGGGACTAGCTCCCCAGCCAATACTGTACTTTTCCCAGTCTAGACTGGCAGGTCAGTACCTCCCTGCCATCAAGTTGGGAAGGGAGTAGGAGGCCTTTTCCCTTCCTCAGTTACCTTAGCCAGCTTCCTGCAGACTTTGTTCACGGCCCCCTCCCAGTGAATCTGTGCCTGAGGCTAGGGAAATCTGTCATTCTGTGCCCTGCATTTCCTGAGACCTCTTCCCCACTCAGCCCCTCCTCTGCCCCATGGTCTGGCCAGGTCGATACAGATCTATTTGTATCATCAGCCCTGGAAGATTCTGTTTCAGCAGAGCTCAAGTAGGTCTCAGGAATTTGTATTTTTAAGAAACATCTGGGATGGTGTGGGTTTTCCTGGATTTCAAATTAAGCACCTCTGCCTTCAGGAACTCCATAAACATTTACTAAATCAAATTGTTCAGTTGTGCACAGTCGGAAAATTCTGATCTGTGGATATCTTTATATGAAAACTTTTATTTCAACACTGGGCAGTCAGCTTTGCCAAAAAAAAAAAATCACGCAACTGTTATTGCAATGTTAAAACTGTGTCATTATCCCCGATTTAACTTCCTTTTCTGCCCCTGCCTCAAATATAAAACACTGTAGTCAGCAAAAATGCTTTTCAAACGAGTTTTGTAAAAATCCTCCTCGTCTGAGTTGATTTAGGACCTCAGCAGCACCCTGACACCTACTTTAAACAGTGGACGCTCTGAGGAAGAAGATTGAGGTTCTGGGGCAAGGCTGCTTCCTCTGGGGTAACATTTCAATTAGTTATTCATTCCACGGAGAATCTGCAGAGTGGAGTCCAATTGTTCCATAAGGCAAATATACAAAGTAACTTATAACTTGTAAAGAGGACAGAGGGCAAGTAGTAATGGCCCAAATGAGCTGTTCATAGCATTTTGGAAATGAATCTAAAGTCTTCCAAGAAAATACCACTGAGTTTATACAGGATAGTGCGTGCTTGCCTTGCTTCCTCATCACCATGTAATTTTACAGTGACTTTTCTCTAAAAATGTCTTCAAAGAGCAAAGAATTGCCTTGTAAGAGACATGCTTTTAAATTTTTTTATTTATTGATTTTAGAGAGAGAGGAAGTGGAGAGGAGAGAGAGAAACATCAATTTGTTGTTCCACTTATTTATGCATTCATTGCTCGATTCTTTTTTTTTTACTTTTTTTTAATTTATTTTTTTAAATTGATTATGCTGTTACAGTTGTTCTATTCCCCCCTTCATTCCCCTCCACCCTGCCCCCCCCTCCACACCATTACCCCCCTTTAGTTTATGTCCATGTGTCTCAAGTCCTTTAGGTTCTATATTTCCCATGCTATTCTTGCCCCCTCCATCTATTTTCTATCTACTGTCTATGCTACTTATTTTCTGTACCTTCTCCCCCCATCTCCTCCTCCCACTCCCCTGTTGCTAACCCTCCTTGAGATCTTCATTTCTATGTTTCCACTCCTGATCTAGCTGTTCTTTTAGTTTGCTTTCGTTTTAGGTGTGGTTGTTAATAACTGTGAGCTTGTTGTTCTTTCACTGTTCATGTTTCTTTAACTTCTTTTTCTTAGATAAGTCCCTTTAACATTTCATATAATAAGGGCTTGGTGATGATGAACTCCTTGAACTTGATCTTATCTGAGAAGCACCTTATCTGTCCTTCCATTCTAAATGAAAGTTTTGCTGGATAGAGCAATCTTGGTTGTAGGTCTTTGGATTTCATGACTTGGAATATTTCTTTCCAGCCCCTTCTTGCCTGTAAGGTCTCTTTTGAGAAATCTGCTGACAGTCTGATGGGGACTCCTTTGTAGGTGATTGTCCCCTTAGCTCTTGCTGCTTCTAGGATTCTCTTCTTCATTTTAATTTTGGCTAATGTAATTATGATATGCCTTGGTGTGTTTCTTCTTGAGTCCAACTTCTTTGGTACTCTCTGAGCTTCTTGGATTTCTTGGAAGTCTATTTCCTTTGCCAGATTGGGGAAATTTTCTTTTATTATTTGTTCAAATAAGTTTTCCACTGGGGGCTGTGTCTTTCCCCCTTCTGGTACCCCTATAATTCGGATATTGGAGCATTTAAAGATGTCCTGGAGGTTCCTAAGACTCTCCTCATTTCTTTGAATTCTTGCTTCTTGACTCTTTTCTGTTTGGCCATTATTTGCTTTCTTCTGGTCCACTCCATTGATTTGAGTCCCAGTTTCCTTTTCATCGCTATGGGTTTCCTGTGGAATTCCATTCATTTCCATTAGTTTAGCCTTCATATGTTTGTCTAATTTGTGGCTATAATCAACCAGATCTGTGAGGATCCTGATGACCAGTGTTTTAAACTGTGCGTCTGAGAGTTTTGCTATTTCTTCGTCGCTTAGATTTATCTCTGGGGCTTTGAGGTCTTCCTGCGACATTTTTGGTCTGTTCTGGCCCTTTAAATGTGAGAAGCGGCGCCTTGGACTCCCAGGTCGCTGGGTTGTGACGCTGTATGTGGGGGCGTGGTCAGAGCGGGGAAATGGCGGTGCCCTCTATGCCACAGCCGGTCCAACCACCCACTCCCTCACCTGTCCGCTCGCGGGCAAATAGTCAACATGCAGCACCGCCTCCCCACTGTCTCCTCTGCAGTCGCTCACCCGGTGGGTTGCTCGGTCGTCACTAGGTCAA